CCAGATGAGATGAATTATTTTTCAGAAGTGTCTATTTCTTTCCATTTACTGTAAAGGCAGTCCAAGTGACTAGTTCAGATGTAGAAGTATTCGTTAGAGTTGTCTAAAACCAGATTAGACTCATCCAACAGCCTTGAAGGCTCACTGAAGACTGAGTTAACTTTTATCTGTACCCATACTGCATACTGAATTCCTCTATGCAGTGCAATATTTGCAGAACAAATTACTTAGAAGAAACACATGGATGATTTTAACAATAAATAACAAATTTTCAAGGTACTTAACCTCAAAGTGAGAAAATGTTCTAAATATGAAGTAGTTACTTACATCAGTTTTAGGTCGTGCTCCAGTGGAGACTGGGTAAGGTAAACAATCTAGATCCTGGTAGTCTACTCTTCTGTTTTTCCAAGATCCTTTTCCTTGATGATCTCCATAAAAGCCTTTTCTCCACTGGAACAGGGCACTGTAAGAGAATTTTAAAAACCCTGTAAATAAAGGCAAGTCATAAATATTTTTAATGCGAACTGCAAGAGAAAAGCACTGGAATTATATCTTTTTAATTTTATTTTTTTTCCCGTGATGTAAGGTAAACATTTGGCTTCAATCTTTTTTTCTTAAAAAAAAAACTGCTTCAACATTTTTAAATTTTGGTGTAAAGTGGATTTCTTAACAGCTAGTATAGAGAACTGGAGAATTCGTAAACAGTTGTACATCTTCCTGAATATCAAGGAACTGAATGACTTAAATAACTTAAATAGATACCTATCAAACTCTCATTTTGAAATTACAGACCCCGAACTTTCCAAATCCACTTTTCTTTGCCCAACAGGTACCTGGCCACACTGAATTGCACAATGTTCCCCTATGCATCCTGATTTGCTTCGAAAGAACAACAAAGTGTGCGAGCAACAAGCAAGCCAAGCTGCAATCCAGTCTTGAAGAGGCTGAGGTACCCAACAACTTATTTGCCTGTCTTCACTGCCTGTCAGTCTTCCCACATCTGTTGTTTTCCTGAACCTGTAGGTGATGGATGGGGAAGGAGAGTCCCTCCCCCATTTGACATGATCCCACATGCCATCCTGATCTCTAAATTGGAGAGAGATGGATTTGATGGGTGGGCCATTCAGTGGATAAGGAATTGGCCTGAAAGCTGCAACCCAGAGACTTGTGGTCAATGGGCTATGCCCAGGTGGAGGCTGGTGATGAGCAGTGTCCCTCAGGGATCTGTCTTGGGACTGGTACTGTTTAGTATTTTTATCAGTGACATAGACTCATTGAGAGCAGCCCTGCAGAGAAGGACTTGGAGGTTCTGGTGGACAAAAAGCTCGACATGAGCTTGCAGCCCTGAAGGCCAACTGTGTCCTGGGCTGCATCAACAGAGGGGTGTCCTCTGTTAGTGGAGGGAGCTCTGCCCTGGTGAGGCCCCACCTGGAGTGCTGCGTCCAGGGCTGGGGCCCCCAGCACCAGAAGGATGTGGGGCTGTTAGAGTGGGTCCAGAGGAGGGCCACAAGGATGATCGCAGGGCCAGAGCACCTCTCCTATGGGGACAGGTTGAGAGAGCTGGGGATGTTCAGCCAGAAGAACAGAAGGCTCCAGGGTGACCTCGCTGCAGCTTTTCTGTACTTAAAGGGGGCTTATAAAAATGATGAAGGGCAAGTTTTTGCTCAGTCAGATAATGATAGGGCAAGGGGGAATGGTTTTAAACTAAAAGAGGGGAGATTTAGATTAGACATTAGGAATAAATTCTTCACTCAGAGGGTGGTGAGGCACTGGGATGGGTTGCCCAGAGAAGCCGTGGATGCCCCATCCCTGGAGGTGTTCAAGACCTGGCTGGTTGAGGCCCTGGGCAACTTGATCTAGTGGGTGGCATCCCTGACCATGGCAGGGGGTTGGAACCAGATGATCCTTAAGGCAACCCAAGCCGTTCTATGACTCTATGAGGACCTGTGTTTGGATCAATCAGGGAACCAGGATCACGGATACACTGCAGAGCAGTTCCAAGCTGTCATTTACAGCCCAAGTCAGCCCATTTGTTGGCCACTCTCCCACACAAGAGGACAAATTTGCTGCTGATCTATAACGGCAACTGCCCAGCTCCCTGTCAGAATATTCTTCAAGCTTTAAAATGAGGAGGCTTTGGAAAGCTGATGAGAGAAAACAGTGTGTGGTCCCAAAATGCTTGTAGACAATATATTATTGCAAAAAGAATTGAGAGAATGTGTAAGTTAGTTTTGTTCAATGAAAGTCATCTCTCTAATATAAGATGGGGTAATTATAATTAAATGATTTCTGTGTCAGTATCCACAAATGATAAATGACAAATTAAAAAAATGTGATTCTCATTCTTCAGACCTGCTGTTTTTTTGTCTGTCCTGAAACTGAGTGTTAGACATCAAATTGAAATAAAGGAGATGCATTAAACAATAGTGAAGCACATTGCTTACTGCAAGGCTGTTCTCTCTTTGCCATTTCATTTACAAAATACCTCCTTTTAAACTGCTAAGAAAGACTTACAGGAAAGGTACAGGTTTGAGAGGATCTGTACAGTTGCAGTTTGCCACAGCTGGCAGTTTTGCCGCTGGTCTATTCAGACAGTCCAGCTTTTTGTATTTAGAGCATGTATTTATAGCATCGGTGAGAGAATGTTTCAGAAAATAATTTGATGACAGATTTTTTTTCTGATCTCTTTTCTACATCAGATACTGAGTCATCCAGCCAGTGCTACTGCCCAATGCTCTTTCCTCAGCAGCAACTTGCACTTTGCACATATGTAAAGTCAGCCCAAGGGAAATTAAACTTCTTAACATTTTCCTAAGTTATTATGTGTTTTAGAAATTTTCTTACATTTATTCACCAAAATACTGCTAGGCCCCCCTACTGTCACTCTGTAACTCCTCTAATATTTATTCACCAAATCTATTCTCATTAACTAGTAATTATTTAGACATCTTCCTGCAATATTTGCTCAACAGAGTATTATTGACAGATACCTTCATGACAGGAAAACTTAAAGAATAATAAAGTATTAAGAGTTACTGCCATGAGCGGATGAAAAATTCTTCAGTAGAAAATGAACTGGCTCAACGCAGTGATTAAATTATGAATACATTCCTCAGACACAGCATCTGCCATACAAAATAAATGCTCTTTCATCTGTTTAGAATTGCCCATGCCCTCAAGAGACCAATTTTCAGAGCAACAGCTTCAGCAAACATGTTGGCACTCACTCAGTAGTCACCTACTTCAGAGACATCAGACCTACAAGTTGGCCTTGCATCTGTGAGCACTTCTCCCCAAATCTCTTTTCAATCATCATTTCTTGCTTCAATTCCCACTTTATATAATGTAAATAGGATAAAAACATATGAAGAACCCATGAGTGGCTCATCAGTTTTATAGAAGCCAAATGTACACAGTTACTAGTAAACATATGTGAGATAGACCTTCTTCCAATTCAAGTTTCATTGTGAGTGAGTATGTGGAAAAAATCATAAGCTACATTAAGCTATATTGCTTGGTCCATGCCAAATGGGATGAATTGATAAAAAAATAAGTTACTCATGTAACTTGTACAAAAACTCTTGGTTTGTTCTTTTTCTTCTCCACTGCAATGGTCATTCTGAAATTTCACAAATCAGTTTCTTCACAGTAAATTTATGGAGAGATTTAGGAGGATGTATTACTCTGCTTTGACTATACGTTGAAGTCAACCAATTTTGAGGCAACTAATTCTTAGGCACTTAAAGTAGAACAGATGATTCCCTTGTTCAGAAATGGTTTGAGTACTGATACCTTTGCCTAACCAAACCATGGCTTTTGCCTCAGGAGAACAGGCACAGCCATAAAATCAAAGGTGTTTGGATCACCAGTTAACAAAATCAGACTGGCTCTCAAAGGGAAGTGCTTGAACTCTGATGGATTGGATTTCTCTTTCAGCCAAAAAAAGCAGATTACATTGCCACTGCATTCTGACAGAAGACATTGAGCAGTCTCCTACCAGAACACAGAACACTGTCCACTAACAGACAGGCGAGTCGAGACAAGTGAATGATGAAATGAATTCAGTTGGACAGAGCTGGTTGTGACTTGTTGACACGTACAATAAGAAAGAAATGACGGACAGGCCTGGCCACACTTTCTAACATCGTCACTGCAGAATATGGAAACGCATACTGCAAAAAGAGATGCCTGATTCTGAGCTTCCCAACTCAAAGGATGCAAACATTTACACCGTGATCTTTGCAGACATTTACTTAAAGAATTTATTTTTACAAGATGAAGCAGCAGTGATGGGAAAAGCAGTAAAAAAAGCTCAACTTCCAGGAATTTCAAGCTAGCACTAACATTCAGAGCTGCAAATCCAAACAACTCTATCTTAAGAAGTGACTTTAATCATAGCCTAAAGCAGAGAACAAACACTCTTACTTCTCACACTGTTCACTTTCCAGTTACTTGCTTCTATATTAAAAAATAAAAATAAAAATGCTTGTTCAAAAGTTGCTAAAATTATATTGTTCCCTCTTATTCCCGTTTTTTACAAATAAAAGTGTGGGTAACTGATGACACCTGCCATCACAAAATACTCTTAAATACAGTAATGCACCTCTAAATAAAACATAATACCCACAAATATTAATTGAACTCTTTCTTGCAGTTATGTCTTTGAATAAACAGTACAAGTTTATTGTACTTCTAACTTCTAATTCACAATTTTCTATCCTGAAAAATTGCATCCAATGCAGTCATTTAGATCCAAATTCCCCTCTGAAAAGGACGAGCAACAAATTCAATCCTATGACATTTGTTTACTTGGCCTGTAGCTGTGTCTAAGGAGCTCATGAGACTTTGTTATTATTGAGTCAAACTTACTTCACCCCTGAAGCTGAGCTCCTCAACCTACCCAGAAGCAAAACCAAATCTGAAAACCGTTGCTCGATGAGCATCTGATAGCTAAATGTTAGAAACATATCATATGACACACACGTTCTTACCAGTTGCTTGTGCCTTTTGGTAGAAGGAGTGCTGGAGGGAGAAGAGCCAGCACTCAGAGCTTCTTCAATATCTAAATTCAGCTGTTCCAGTTTCTTCATAAGACATGACATAGAGTCTGACCATTCAGATCCTCTTTCTGGTTGGGTCTAAAACAAATCAAACATACGTTAAGTCTTAAAGCATCCAAGCTTTTTGTCACTTCAAGACTCATTTTTCTGGCAAGTCTGCAAGAAGAATGCTGACCAGCATTTTCGCTGTCCTTGGGTAGCTTTCTTCATTTAGAAAGTTTATAGTATCACTCCAGTCCTCATTGAACATATTCATGGCTGCTCTTCGTACCAAAATGATCACGCTCCACCTCTGCGTCTGAAGTGCTTTCTAACACTTCATCTTCGGTGAACCACTGCCAGCTCAAGCTACATAACCAAGACTGAAACCAAAATAACTTCAATGTCTCTTCATTAACTAACTTCTATCTTAGCATCTCCATCAATTGCTTACTGTCCAGAAGGATTAGAAAAATGAAGGTCATCACATACCTGTATTATAGTCCTTACTATAAATCCAGACCTAATTAAGTTTTGCAACTTTCTTCTGTCTATCCATGACGACAGACATCTGCCAGGAGAGTCAGAATACTTTGTTGGTCTCAAACATTTTCTGTTTTGATGGATGCGTTTTCCCTATTTATCTAAACTGTTTCACTGTATAGTGAAAACTTTAATCCTCTGTAGCACAACTGCCCAAAATACTTTTCTTGTTCCTTAGTTTCTCAAAGTCCCTTTCAGGGACTCCCATTGAGTATCTTCCCATAGCAATCCCTGTGCACGCTGCTGTGTTAAACCTCATTTTTCTCATTCAAATCACTTATAAAGATTCCCAAGAAAAATACAGTCACAGGGACCTCCCTGTCGCCATGAGGCAGCTACAGGTCCACGCATTAGACTCTGTCCTGAAGCTGCTTTCAGTTCTTTAATATTTCTTTCAGAAACAACAGATTTTTTCACAGAGAATCATTTTATGGCAATCTATTTTAACAGACTGTGCATACAAACAGTAGTATTACATTGCCAGCCTGCCAAAATCCTCCAAGTATCGTACCAACATTCCACAATACGCAGGGGAGCTAGATAAATATTATTATTATTTTAACTTCACAAAACTTTTTGGTGATTTGTTTCCTTATGATGGTTTAGCGAGTAGTACTGAAAAAAAAAAACCACTGTAATTTGTTCACTATCATAGAAAGAAAGCATGACAAATAGAATCCAGAAGGCACACTCCACTATCACATTGACATATCTGATTTCTAATGGAATTGTGCACCTTCACCACAACTGAGTGTAAGCCTCTGCAGAGCTTCAGACATTACCCACAGAAGGAGAAGCTCTTTTAGCAGGCATTATTTTAAAACACAGAAAATCAAGTATCTTTAATTTTCCAAATCTTTATAATTTTTGATTTTTTTATGAGCTCTAATTGAATATTCTATCTGAAATACTGTTCAAAGTGTTAAACTCTATTTCAACTCTGTAGTTATTAAATTCATTTAAACAATTAGTTGATTACTTCCCATTGTCTTCCCAAGCACTATAAAGTAAAATACAGGATGCTCCCCAGAAAGTGAGTATCAAAAGGCACTCCTCATGTTGAATCCTTCCTGAGCAAGATGATCTTATGCAGGAAATGTGAAGAAAATGAAAGAAAATATTATCTAATTTCTGTATTTCTGGAGGTTGCATGAGTATCTCAATAATTTAGATAGAAAGATGAAAAATCATGGAGACATTAAGAAATGCTTGTAAGTATTTCTGATGAAGATTTTGAATGCATGTAATAATAAACATATGTGATATTCTGTAGTGTTACAATAAACAATACAGCTCCATGTGTTGAGAGGCATGCTTAGCTGTTGCATTTGATTAATACTTACCTACTGGATCAATACTCATAGCATTCATCAATACTTCGTGATGCTTCTGAATGCACCAACCCCCAAATTTATTTTTTATTTATTATCCTAAATTTCTTCTTTTACAGTAACAGAAGTCAGGACCAGAGCCATTTCTTAGAAATTCACGTTTCCCCGCATTATAACTCTATTTTTCTCCATTAAGTTCTGTCTTTTCTAGTTCAGTGGGACTCTATAGTGTGTCTACTGAATGAAGGGGATGAGGAAAAAGATGAGTTTTCATTATCCTTCAAAATAAAGCTAAATGGGCCTACTTAACAAATGCCATTGACTAATTGGAAACTCAGCACAAAAGTGCTATTTGGAATAGGTGCTGATTGGCTACGTATTTCAAAGGTTGCCTGAAATTCCTGCTGAAACATGATGCTGCTTACATTCAGAAATATACAGCTTGCACAGTAGGACTTCTAACAAGAGAATAAATTCTGCCTAATCCATTCACAAGGAACACAGCTCGTCAGTGTTGTGCCCTAGTAACGAGACTGGAGGCTGTGGAAGCTCTCAGAAGAGCACTTTGCAGTTGCTGTGTATCCTGCCCGTAGCAACTGCAGAGGGTGGGAGCATCTTTGGAAGCTTTTGCATCTTGCCCTTCAGGAGGGAAAAAGCCTGAGTCTGAAGTATCAAAGAAACACGGGCTGATTTATTCACTGTTTTTTCCCCTAAAAAGGTGTAGAGGGAGAACACTCCTTTCTGTATCCTCTCTTTATTAATTGGAGCCAGGTCACTCGAGCAGCGCATGGGAATCCTATTATCTCTTGAAGAACCTGAAAGGCTTAGAGACAGACGTGCATTACAGGAACATCTCTTGTAGTGTTACACCTTGGACAACCCTAGACAGATGAACGGTAGTAGAAAATAAGACCAGAGAATCCTGTTAAACATTTTTTTTCGAGGTGGAGTGCCTTGTTAATGAAGATCATGCCACACATTAAGCGGAGAAAGACATATTGGTCTTGAATGTCAACTGCTTTGTCAGATAAATTCCTCAAGTCCAATATAGCCTTTTAGACCAAAAAAGAGATTAAAAATCTAAAATACAGAAGTATTATCCTCTGTGCTAAATATAAAACTAAGTGGGATGCATTTCCTTAATCTTAAGGCAGATTACTTCAGATAGGTGGGATGCATTTCCTTAATCTTAAGGCAGTGTACTTCAGATATTTATTGTATATGAAGAATTAACCCAGTTGTGTAATATTTACTGAGACATGTTTAGCGAACAGCCAAACATAAAATTTAGATATAGGTTGCCACTTCATACGGCAATCATAGCTTGTTTTTGAACAGCAAGCTTAATGTTTTGTTACGTGTACTTTCACAAGCAGATTCTGTGCTCACTTACATAGCTGGAATTTCATTGCTACCAATAACAAATTACAGAGGTAAAACTGGGTACAAGATTACGGTCCATCATCTAAACAATTACTTGTTCATTCCTTAGATTGAGAAGTAAATACATTCCAGACATTCAGCTATTTGTGCCTTTTGGACCAAAGGCTTCTGCACCCTGTTTCTCAGCTTTCAAGTGTTCTTCACTAATCTTATTCAGCAAAAACATCTGTGATTAAAGGCATATTTGTTTCAGCGTTTTGCCCGTGCAGCTTGTTGCAATAGGCATAATAGCTGCCAGCAAATCTAAATTTAAACTGAAAGAATGTGGCGAAAATGAACAAGTCCGTATAGAACACGCAGAGGTCAGGGTTAACCTTGCTGCCAGACCTCATCCTATACTGGAAGCTGCAAGGCTTCCAAGGGAAGGGTTATGAGAAAATTACACAACTCTAAATTTATCTGATAACATGTGGCTTTCCCTTCAGAAACACTCAATAGGTCCAATTGTTCTGTTAATTAATGTATTGTAAAACTTCTAGTGATAAATTACTAACCTCCAAATATAAAAATGCCAGCGCTATTTAATCCTCCTCCCTAATGGTAAATTGGTTTAGATAAAATTCTCTCTAATGCGTAAGTGAGATCCACAAAGAATGATTTTGTGGAAGAATTTCAGAGCCCAAATACCATGTTTTGCTCTTGCTGCAATGCTGGGGCTCCTCTGTTCTCAAAAGAAGTTCTGTATAAAAGGTCTCTCAGCCACTGGTGGCTTTGCCTACAGGGGCTGGGGAAGGAAGCCAGATTGGATCCATATAAATAATCCTTCTGAAAAAAAAAGGATATAGAATACAAAGGACTCTTATTCTCAGAATAGATTTATGCATGCTTTCTATATTAAAGATAAAATATTTCAAAGGGAATTTTGACTTCTACCCCACTATAGCTTTGCTTAAATATTTACAGAGCCTTTAGATGGACAACTGCGTGCCACCTCCCTCCCGGAAAGCAGGTAAAGTAAACTCTGCAGCAAGCAACCTTTCCACTTCTAACAATTTTATTGCTATCCATCAGAAATGATCAAGGGAAGTCTCTTCCATCTCTCATGTCAGTAGGCAAAACCAAAAGCACAGTGAGGTTGCCGGGAAAGAGAAAGATCTGTAGGCCATTGCATGAAGTTCAGAGGTCTGGTTCTTTCTTATCCACAACATGTGGAAGCATTCACCTAAGATGGGCTATTAGGATCTCAACAGTCTTCCCAAAGAAAAAAGGGCATAAATACTAGTATGAACATACTGTTAACTTAATCTGTTTTAAAGGAAATACATTTCATTTTGGAGCTCCCCAGGGAGGAGACCCCACAGCCTCTCTGGGCAGCCTATGCCAGGGCTCCGTCACCCGCCCAGCACAGCAGTGCTGCCTGGTGCTCAGAGGGAGCCTCCTGGGTGCCCGGCTGTGACTGAAGCACTGGCTTTGTCTTCTTCCACTAAGCTTAACCGTTGGCTTCTATAACCTATGTGTTTGTGTTCTAGTAAACCATTAACTATGTCTTTGAGGATAAATACAGTATAATACAGTAAAACAGTGTGGAAATACTAACTTCAAGTGTATATCATAAGGATATACGTTCTCTCTCTCCCCAAGGATTAAAAGGGGCAAAATGAGCATGAAAAAGAACTCAAAGAGGAGGTACTAACTGAAAGTAACATAATACAACCCTTACCTCATTTCTAGTATTTGACTTTTTCAAGGGAAACTAACATCATCTTAGAAATACTCATATATATATATATATATAAAATACCCATATATATATGATACTCATATATATATGAATATATATATATATAAAGAGTTGGTTTATATATATATAAAAGCTCTTTATCTCTCAACCAGTGAGTTGGTAAATACAGCCTCTAATTTGCAATTAACACCTTGATTTCATATAGTCATAGAATGGCCGAGGTTGGAAGGGACCTCTGAAGATCACCCAGTCCAACCCTCTGCCAGCAGGATCACCTAGAGCACACTGCGTGGATGGCATATAGTGCTAATGTCCATCGACTAAAAGAATGTAATCCTAAAGTTGTGCCCCTCTTTCAAGGGTTCCTACATCAATTTTTAAGGGCTGCTGCTCTAAATCGGTCAGAACTGAAACACTGGTATCAAAGGAGTCTTCCAAATACTAGATTACAGAAACATGGCCCAGATGAAAACTGAGCTAATTTCTAGGGACTGAAAGGGACGTGTCAGCATAGCACTTCACCTCTGCCAAGAGAGAGGGATAGGAAGGTGAAAAGAAAGGAATTTAGTTGAAAGGAAAGGTGTGGGGCAAAATGTTTTCAAAACCAATTGTGCACTACTACAGGGTTTTGAAGTGCAGTAGCCCATTGTTGCAGATAGCCTAGTATGAAAACTCTGTTGCAGAGCTTTTTTGTTCCGTTAGCAAAAGCAACTGGTTTCATATTGGACTTTTCATTTACAAAATGACAATGTAAAATGGCATGCAGTTGCTTTTAACATAAAATTTTAATTTGGGTTTGCTCAAATGATTAAAAAACCGTTCTTTATTTCCCCAGCTCACAACGCCTACAGCACAATTCTCCACCTCCTAACAAATTATGATGTCAGGCAACACCAAATTTCATAAACAGGCTGTCTGACAAGCCTGCACTGCCGGCACATGCTACAGGACTGGCACCGAATGGCCAGACAAGCTGTCTGAATTGACATCTGCTCCCGTTTCAGCGTATGAATTATCCTCTGGGGTTGTCCCATCTTCAGCTGCTTCGGACCAGACGCCAGCTCACCATTTATCTATTCTACCACATCCTTCACTGCAAGGTGTGGAGTTGTACTTCTTGTGTCCCAAACACACCTGCCCTGTGCAGCAAATCCCCGGCTGTCCGTTTGCATTTATTTTGGCACCTTCTGCAACAGTGGCTTTATCTGAGCATCGCCATCAGGGATCATGAATGTCCAAGCAGTTCACACACATAGCTATTGACACATTTAACTTTCACTTAACCAAAAATTACTAACTTCAAGATACATTAACTCATGCTATGACTACCTTGAAAATGTAACGTTTGTATCTCCCTCCAATGTTTATTGACTAACCAAGTGTTTCACCAAAGCTGAGGGGTCTCTCTCATGCCACTAGATCTCTAAGTTACAGTAGAAAAAGAAAACTTTCAGAGTCTTTTCCTAAATGTATTTAATTGCACCAATAAACTACCCTTTCAGATCGGAATTGAACTGTTCTCTTAAAAAAAAAAAAAAAAAAAAAAAGCTGTATAGTCCATCGTGCTTAGCCAGGATGTAGAAGAGCTGGCCTCAGCCTCATTTTTGGCCTAATGCATTTTATATCAGCCCTCAGCAGGGAGAATAGTAGGATTTTCGTACTGGGTACACCTGGCTGTGCAGGAAGTTCTTCCTCTTTCTTGCTGAAGAGGAAACAAGCACAACAATAATCCACTTGATCTGTTATGACACCTGTTCACTTGATGTGAACAGAGCAGAATTTATTGAGTTTTAACGAGCAACTATGCTATATGAAACATATAAGCACTTTGATAACACTAGTGTACTGG